GGTAAGGTCTTGTTCCACAGCGGTGGGTTTGCGCCATCAGCTGCAGACTATTCTCCGCCATATCAGCTCTTGACAGGTATGGACATGAAGCTTGCCCAAGACAATACCACATACGTCGTCCACCACATGCTCTTCTACAGGCCCTACTTGCAAGAGATGCTGGACCTATCCAGTGGCATTCGGCCTATCCCGCCACTGTGCCTGGGTGATGGGTCAGAGGCCTGTTGGATGTTGGTTGGGATCTCTTGGTTGGCCTTTTAGGTGCCTCCGAGAGGCAATTTTGACGCCTCTCGAAGCCTCTTGGGGGCAGTTGTGGGGCCTCTTTTTTAAGGCCTCTTGGAGTTTGTTCGGAACCTCTCTGGGGCCCCTGGGGCGGGCCGGAGGCTCGAATTTGGAATTCTAGGGCCCTTCCTTGGACGCCTTCTTGGGGTCGTCTTGGGCCTTCTCGGGCGCGCCTTGGGCTGTCTCGGGCACGCCTTGGGCCGTCTTTTGGCCTTCTTGAGCCGTCTTGGGGCCCTGTTAGAGGCTTGCTGGGCCGCCGGGGGCCGTCTTGGGAGCCTTCTGGGCCGTCTTGAAGCGTCCGAAAGCCGAAAAGGCGACAAGGCCAAAATCCTTCAGATGCCAATTGGAAGTCAACGATGTTGGCCTCTCACGGCCCTTTTGTGAGGCCTCTTGGAGGCCTCTTGGAGCGTTTTGGAGCACTCTGTGGGCATCTCGGGGGCCTCTTGGGCCCTCTTGGGGGCCTCTTGGGGCCCTCTTGGCCCGTCATGGGATCTCTTGGGGCTGAAGGGGTCACGCGACAACACTCCCGGGGAGCCCTAGGAAACGGCGCCAAGCCCCAGGAGATTTGAGAATTTTGATTCTGGGCCTTCTCAATGACTCCTCAGGACTGAGGACTGAGGCTCAGGGGATTGCACACATGACCTGAGGACACGCCCACTCCATGCCCAGAGGCACGGTGGCGGATTTGCGTCGGCCACACCTGGCGCAGGGATTGACAACGTGGATGATGCGAATCCTGGGCTTCCTCGTTGGGCGTGGAATGCTATGATCGCTGCATGCGTGTCAAGTTCAGACAGGAACCGCGGTGCGCGATTTTCAGAGTACAGCTATTATGCATCTTTCGTTTTTTCGCGCCACCCGGATTCAGCATTGCCAGGGCCACATCTCGCGCATGTTCGTCATTTCCCTGGAACAATAGGATTTGGGAAGCGGACTGGTACTGACGGCGCCTGTATTGCGTACAGTAGTTTTCTTGATGAGGTTCATGCTTGGCGAGCCAACTACACCATCGGGAAGGTTCCAAAGGGTTCTTTCGGGAGGTTTTTTTCCACAGAGTCCCCCAGGGGGCCCGCAACTTGCCAAAATAGAGGGTGCGAAGCTCCTGGGGGGCCGGGCCCTCCTCTAAAACCCTCTCCCCCAAAAAAGCCTTTAGAACCCTCCAGACCATGCTTGGATTCGACCAGCACGACGGTGACCGCGAGGACTGGTGGCAGGATGTTCAATGGCAGTGGCTTTGGGGCAGTTGCCTTTCCCTCGCATTCGTTTCGTGGCTACTGATGTGTCGCGGAATCGGCCGTCACAGAGCGCACGCGCAATGATATGGCGGACTTCAAGAAGGCCCGTGTCACCGAAGGAGCCAGGAGTTGGCATCTCTTCCCCGGCGGAAGGGCGGCGGAAGCTGACGGAAGTAAAGCCAGGTCAGTTCCGTTCCGCCGGCGGGAGCCAGCGGAAGGGCGGCGGAAACCGGTGGAAGGAAAGAGAGCCCCCCCAAGAACCGTCAAGGCGTTTTGCTCCATCGTTTCCGAAATCGCCCATATGGCGTTCGCAAGCGCCGTTATCTATGTTCGTTCGTTTTTCTATCATTTGAGTACGGGCCGTCTTGGGGCCTCCTGGACCGTCTTGAGGGCCGTCTGGGGTCCTCTTGGGCCGTCTTGGGGGCCTCTTGGACCGTCTTGGGGGCCTCTTTGAGCTGTCTTGGGGCTTTGTTGGGCCGTCTTGGGGCGATTTTGGAGGGTGCTTGGGCCGTCATGGGCATTTGAGAGCCGAAAACAGGGAGAACATTCAAGTTGTCAAAAAATCATAGGAAATCAATGGTTTTGGCTTCTGGAGGCGCTCCTGGGGGTGGTCCTCTTGGGGCCCTCTTGGGGCGTCCTGGGTTATCGAAAGGCTGCCGCCTCTGCCGCTGATCCCAATTAAGCGACGTATGTTTGATTCGTTTGTTATCGGGCTGCCTTTCCGAACACGGTAGGAAGGGTTCAGGTGAGACATCCAGGCTTGAGCCGCGCCCCCTGGACTTTTGATTATCTGTTGCACCTCGGACTCCTCTCTGTCGAATGGCCTTCGGCCCATCCCGCCTCTGAGCCTGGGTTGTGGGTGTAAAGCCTATTGGATGTTCGGTGGGATTTCGAGGGTGACCTTTAGGGAGCCTCTTGGATGCAGTTTTGACTCGGCTCCGGGCGCGGAATTGTCAGGGTGGGGGTTTCAAGAACAGAGCTCCCAGGAGGGTGCGGGGGTCGGACCTGGTGGTGACCTGGTGGTGGCGTGGTGGTGGCGTGGTGGTGACCTGGTGGTGACCTGGTGGTGGCGTGGTGCTGGCGTGGTAGGGGGTCAGGGTCTGCTCCGGGCGCAGAATTGTCGGGTGGTGGGTCCCAAGATCAGAGTTCCCAGGAGGGTGCGAGGGTGCGGGGGTCGGACCTGGTGGTGACCTGGTGGTGGCGTGGTGGTGACCTGGTGGCGGCCTGGTGGTGTTCCAAGGGACCGAGGTGCACCCTACTCAGCACTGGTTGGGCGCGACTCGTCGGCGGCGGCTTGACCTCTTCGCCGCCGCCCTCGCCCTCCTGGGCCAGCAGGTGGTCTACCGCAAGGACGTGGGGCGCTTGGTGGGCAAGCGCGGGTACTGCCAGAGCTTCCGCCCTTGTCTGCGCTCGATTCTCTCTTGCGTGTATACTTGGCTGGAGAGCTTGCCGCTAAGGGGCCGCAAGCCTGTGGCCTGGTGCCCGCTGGCATGGCACGAGCTGCTGCTGTCGGCGATCCTCCTGCCCTTCGCGGAGCAGGACCCCGGCGCCGAGTGGTGCGCCCGCGTCGCGTGCACCGACGCCGCCCCTGGCGGGCACGGCAGAGCCTGGGCGTCGCTACCCGAGGAGTCGGCGCGGCACAACGCGCAGTGGGCTGACCACAGGGCGCCCTGCACCATGCTCGGCGACGGCTTCGGGATCGACGTGGACGTTGAGGGCCGCTGCAGTCTCGCCAGGGTGGCCCCCCCTGCTGTGCCGCACTGGTTCAAGGTCGGTCGGCCCGGCGGCTGCGAGCACATCGCCTTGGAGGAGGCGCGCGCGAAGCTGTGGGGCATGGAGGCGCGCCTGCATCGCCCCGCGGAGCTGGGGTGCCGAGTGCTGCATGCGGGCGACAGCGCGCCGTGCGAGGGCGCTTTCATCGAGGGCCGCAGCGCCAGCCGCAAGCTGAATCGGCGCTGCCGTCGTGGCGCTGCCATCGAGGTGGCGGGCGGCTTCTCGCACTTCCACTTTTGGATCTCCACGAGCAAGAACCCTGCGGATGAGCCCAGCAGTTGGCACGGGTGCCAGCGGCGGGCGAGCGGCATCAGCTGCCGCAGCCCCTGTCGCGCCAGGAGGCGGTGCCCGTCGTGCCCGCGGGCTGGGGCCGCAGGGGGGCCATCTCCCCGCATCTCTGCTCAGGGCCCAGGCGCGAGGGCGACCTCTGCGACGCAGTCGAGCAAGAGGCGCGTGAGGCAGGCCTCGTGGTGGCTGCGGTGGCCCACGATCCCGTCATCGATGCTGGCCACGACCTCGCGCGCGCCGGCTTGGTGCAGGAGCTGAGGGGGCTCTGCAGCAGTGGCGACGTGATGGGCTTTTTCGCGGGCCCGCCCTGCTCGACGGTGAGCCGCGCCAGGCACTGCCCGCTCGCTGGGCGCCAGGGGGAGGCCTGTGCGCGCGAGAAGCGAGCCTTTCTTTCCTTTGCCAGGACTGACGGACACCGAGCGCCGAGCTTGCGCACTGGGGACGCGCCTCTTCCTCTTCTGCCTCGAGCTCTTCACCCGAGTCATCCTTTGCGGGGGCTGGGCTGGCCAGGAGCACACTCAGGATCCAGGGCGTCGACCGTTCCCCTCGTTCTGGTGCTCTCGAGAGGTCGCAGAGTGGATCGCAGAGTCCGTGCTGCGCAACGTTTCGTTCGATCAATTTCGACGCGGAGCCTCATCGCAGAAGCCGGCGTCCATTGTCACGAATGACGGTGAGGCTGGGGGAAATTCTCGGGCATCGCTGCAATCATCGACACAGGCATAAAGGAGGTTATCTAGCACGCGGTGGGGGTTCGTCGCAGGTCAGCTCGCTCGATATCCTCCGCAGCTGTGCCGGGCTCTGGCTCGGCTGGCGGTCGGCTCCCCTGCGAAGACCCAGGATCGGCCGCGCCATGGGTGGCGATCCTGGCAGGCGCCGTGGGCGCATCATCACCTTCTTGATGAGTGCGCTCAAGCCAGTGACCATCCAGAGGTACGCCGCGGCCCTCATCGATTTCAGCTCTGATCTCAAAGCGCTGGTCTTGGGCGTTGAGCAGCTCACCGAGGAGGAGCTCGACTGGTTCCTGGCCGAGCGTGTGGTGGACCTGTTTGAGGAGTCTGGCGGCGCCGAGGGCTTCGGGACTGCCTCTGCGCTGCTGGCCTCGCTCGCGAAGGCGAATCCTCGGCGCCGCTGCCGCGCTGCCTGGAAGGCGCTGGACGTGTGGCGCGCTCGGCGGCCGCCCTTGCAGGCGCCCGCCCTCCCAGCCGTGCTCGCCCTCGGGATCGTGAACTGGCTCGTGCTCGCGGGGGAGTTCGGCCGCGCCGCCGCCGTGCTGCTCTGTGTCGCATCCTCGGCTGCAGCGCTGGCTCCAGAAAAGGCGCGGG